GCCACTATGCTACCAGAGCTCCGTCAGATGCCTTAGGCTCCTTATAATTAATACCCGAGCTCCTTATAATACTCACGGTGGACCTTTTTTCATAGCTAAGCTGAACTTTGTATAGTTTTAAGATGACTTCAGGGGATATTGTTGGTTTAAGGTTTAAAGATTATCTCTGGGCAGTAGTTTCACCAGTTCATCCGTGGAGCTGGTATGGCTCCAGAAAGTCTAGAGTCCTTGAAAAGTTGAAATTCTGATCTGCACTTTCCCCTTTCTGATCAGGTTCTTCTATGCAATCTTTAATCAAAGTATCAGTAACGGTAGTCAGGCACCATCCAGTTCTTCTGGTCCCTGGCAAAGGAGGCAGTTGTTCGTGGAGGCAAGTAGCCACACATTCTCTATCCTCCTCCCATACCTGTTGTTCCAGGTGAATAGGGACCAATCATTGTGCCCTGGATCACCACTTGCAAGCTTTTAAGACCTCAGGCATTACACAGCGAACTAGGAGGTTGGAAAGAAGCACTAAATACATTATTAGGCCAGTTAACTGGGATGTCCCATGAAACCATGACTCAGCTTCCACACCAAGGAACCAAATGCCATGAGGTGGTTGGTTGTACATAGGCAGCCTCAGCAGATACTTTTTGTTGATGTTGTTGTAAATGTATCTATTACACCGCTTTTGTCAATTCAACTTTTTCAGGTATACAGCTTATTTCCAGGTGTACAACTTGTCATAATTGACAGCAACTATAATAATTGCCTGTGCAGCCCTCCCTTTTGTCAATGTGATTTTTCCATCACTGTTAACCTTCCTTTTCCTCCTCCTTCCTGCCACTGGTAACCACCAATAAACTGGTCTCTATACATTGGCCTTTTCTTGCCTTTTTATGTGAGTGAGGTCATATGACGTTTGTCCTTTTGTAATTGGCTTCTTTTGCTTTGCTTAAGGTCTTCAAGCTCCATTCATCTTGTAGCATGTATCAAGGCTTCATTCTTTGTACTGGTTGCGTAGTGCTCCATTATATGTATCTACCACATTTCGTCTGTCCATTCATCTGCTGATGGACATTTAGATTGTTTCCACCTATATTGCGAATCGTGCTGAAGTGAACATTGGTGTCTAAGTCTCTGCTTCCATCTTTGGGTATATACTAAGAGTATAATTGGTGGGTCATTAGATTTACGAGGAAGCACTACACCATTTTCCACACTGGCTGCACCATTTTGCATTCCTACCATCAATGGAAAAGGGTTCCAATTTCCCCACATTCTTACCAACGTTTGTTCTGTTCTTTTTTCTTTCTGTTTTTGGACTATCCTCATTGTTGTCATTAGGTGGCATTGAGTTGATTCCAACTAATAGCGACCTTGTGTCCAACAGAATGAAACCCTGCCTGGTCCTGCACCATCCTCACGGTCCTTGCTGTGCGTGAGCCCATTGTTGCCCCCACGGTGCCAGTCCATCTCACTGAGCATCGTCTTCTTTTTCCTCTACTTTATAAGCATGATACCCTTCTCCAGGGACTGCTCCCTCCTGACAACACGATCAATGTACGAGAGGTGAAGTCTTGCCATCCTAGCTTCTACGCAGGAATAAATAATAATACATTATTAGGCCGGTTAACTGGGATGTCCCAGTTTAATTTAATTAACCCAAATTCAAAATAAATAAATCTAACTTTCTTATGATCCACGCAGTCAGATGCCTTTGCACAGTCACGGGTAAACATCTTTCTGGTCGTCTCTGCTTTCAGCCAAGATCTACCTGACATCAGCAGTCATATCCCTCATTCCACGTCTGCTTCCGAATTGGGCTTGAATTTCTGGCAGTTCATTGTCTGTGTACTGCTGCAACCATTTTTGAATTACTTTCAGCAAAATTTTACTTGCATGTGATATCAATGATATTATTCAATAGTTTCTGCATTCTGTTGGGTCTTTTTTCTTTGGGATGGGCCATACAAACTTGAGGATTGTTTTTTCTATTTCTGTAAAGAAGGCTGTTGGAATTTTGATTAGAATTGTGTGACTTATTAGATTGCTTTGGGTATATATTTGAACAATATTAAGTCTTCCAATCCATGAACATGGACCATCTTTCCATTTATTTAAGTCTTTAATCTCTTACAACAGTGTTTTGTAGTTATTACTGTATAAGTCCTTCGTGTCCCTGGGTAGGTTTATTCCTAGGTATTTTATGCTCTGAGATGCTATTGTAAATGAAATGGTTTCCCTAATTTCCCTTTGGATTTCTGAAGTGAAGAGTTTGTTTTAAATATGTTGCTTTAAAGTAGAGGGCTTCTGAATAATAATGAAGCTGGATTCTGGTAGGCAGTATTCAGGGAACACTCTCCAGGTCTTCTCAGTTTTCCCCTTTAGAGTCCAGCATCTTTTGTGATGGTGTTAGTTGGGACCTGATTGATTAGCCTCACACTCACAGCCTTGTCTACCCCTTGGCTTTCTATTCACAGTCAATCAAGACACAGAAGCCTGTGAGAAAGGTCAAACAGAGAGCACCTGGTTCAGTGCCTAATCTTTTTCCGAATCTGCCAGACTGAATTGCAACCTGCTGGAACTGTAGGAGCTAGCCTAAATGATGCTGGTTATTTAAATAGCAGCAGAAATAACAGACAATAACCAACTAATAGGGGAAAATGCTTTTGCTTCAAATGCCTGTGCCTTTTCTTTTTGCCTGATTATTTTGTTTGCTTGTTTTGTAGTGTGATTGACAGTCATTTACTGTGCTGAAGAGTGCTGAAGCAAGCCAGCACAGCAGGTAACAGCCAGGAAGGACCGATGGGCAGCTGAGAAATTCAACGGGCTAAACCCTTGAGCTGCAGCCTTGGAGACTGGGACGTTTGAGTTCGTTTAAGTAGCCTTGGAACCCTGTTTGCAATGGGCTACTTGTAGGAGGGATCTGATTGTCGTTCTTGTTGGACGAGATGGAAGAAGAAGAACTGGACTGTCTACACCCGTCCTCTGAAAAGCGCTATTTTCCTGACTCCCTGGATTCCAGTGATGGGGATGACGAGGGGGTTTTGGCCTGTGAGGATTTGGAGCTGAACCCTTTTGATGGGTTGCCGTATTCATCACGTTATTACAAACTCCTAAAGGAGAGAGAAGATCTTCCCATATGGAAAGAGAAATACTCCTTCATGGAGAATCTGCTTCAAAATCAGATTGTGATTGTTTCTGGAGATGCTAAGTGTGGCAAGAGCTCTCAGGTGAGCTCATTACAAAACCAGCTTTCTTTCTGTGTTGTAGCTGTTTTATTATGTAAGTAACTAAAATGTCACAGCACAGTGCTCTGAATTTTTCAAAAATTATTTTGTTAGGGTAAAATACGCTATATAACCTTGCTATTTTGACTGTTTTTAAGTGAACAACTTAGTGACGTTCATTACATTCGCCACGTTATGCGGCTACCTGTGCAGTCTGTTTCTGGGAGTTTTTCAAACAGGAGCTCTGTGCCCCTGCAGCCCTGACTCGCCGTGCCCCCTTCACCGCAGCCCCGCTGAGCTCAGGAGCTTCTGTCGCTAGGCACTTGGTCTAGATGTTTCATGTAAGAGGTTCTGGACGGTGTTTGTTTCCGTTCCTGATTTACTGCACTCGGCACTGTGTTTTCAGAGCTCATCCATTTTGTGGCGTGTGTCAGGGCTTTTCTCTTCAGGGCTGAAATACGCCACTTTGTGGCTAGATTCACTTTGTTGGTCCACCCCTTTAGTCCAC